TTTTGCGAGTCTACTTATGTTCATGTAATCAATAGCCAGGGTTTGTAATCAACGCCGGCCATTATTGTCACGGTAAAATAAGGTTGACGTATATTTAAACTAATGTCATCATCAACCAAGGACCGAAGTTTCTAGAACTCAATAGCACTCACAAAGTGCTCCAGAGAGACTGTTATCATGTGGTCAAAAAATAAAATAATGATGATGGGAAGGGGGGGTGGCTGAAATCCAGCTCGACACTGGAATCTGACCTGTGTTGGCAAAGCTGAGCCACCCCCTTTTGCCAGCACTATCTCTGTATAACAGTGTGTTGTATAATTTTGTTCAGTTTTTTTTTATGGCAATAAAGTTTTTTATTATTATTGTTAATATTCCTTTCCTCTTGTCATGAATCCCACACTGGTAAAATCTACAGCAAAATTTAATTTCTGTATAACCTACAAAAATATATGACTATTTGAAAAAAAATACTTTTCTCAGTAAAAATGTATAACTAAAAGGCTCTAATTGAATTTTCAATAGTAACTATTAGGACGTGAAAAATTCAATTTTCTTCGTCGATTTAACGAGGAATGTTCGAGAAAAAAGCGGCTCTTAGTTGAAGCGCAATCTCGGGACATGGGAAGAATGTGAAACATATAGAAAGGAGTGGAATTACACGTACTAACGCCGGTATGAGTTTGTTACGAGACATTTACATCGCAAGATATTTTTAGCGTTCCGTACCTCATAGGAAAAAAACGGAACCCTTATGGGATCAATTTTTTGTCCGTCCGTCTGTCTGTCAAGACCGTTTTTTAATAAATCTAAACTATACATTAACTTAGAACTTGCTACTATGGCCTTAAGTTAAATGAGGAGGAGATTTGTCACCTTAAGATGACAAAGTAAGAAAAAATTAACTATTACTCGTTACCTCATTATTATAATTTAGTTTATGTTTATTTATTTTTTAATGTAAATATTCGGCGGAAATGGTAAAACATGTATAAAGGAATCACTCGCTACTATTTTTTTTTATTTTAATTGTTATGAATGCAATTGGTGATATTTGTTATGTCGTGTCGTTGTCGTGACGTATAAAGTGTTTCAAAGGCGTAAAACAGAGGGGTGTCAATAGAAGAAACCGATCCAGTGAGTGGAGCGCAGAGCTGTTAAAATAGTAAGAAATTCTTTTTAAAATAGTGAGGAATTCTTTAATTATTAAATTCTTTCTAAGTAAAATTTAATCTTACTAATATCAGAAATGTGAATGTTTGGATGGATGGATGGATCTCCGAAACGGCTCAACGGAATGATATTTGGCATAGATGTAGAGCATAATTTGGGAGAACAGCTAGGCTACTTATTAAGTTTTTTTTTTAATTCCGTGCGGTCGGAGTCGCGGGCTACAGCTAGTTTTTAATATAAAGGGAATGAAATAGTTTTTATTATAAATTCATAATTAAGTTTTGTTTTTTATTTTCGCAAATTTAAATGACATTTAGACAACAATTACTTATAATGTTATTTCTTTACGTTGTTACAATCTCTTGTTAAATATAATTACGACTTAAATAAACATAGAACGGAAATAAGGTAGAACTTTTCCATAAAAATAATAAACAATTTGTACAGAGTAATATAATTCCGTTCGTGACAAAAATAGTAAACAAAAATACTGTTATTAAGTGTAACAAAAAAAGCCTTCGCTTTATATATGTTACTAGCTACGCCCGCGGCTTTGTCCGCGATAAATACTGTGATTATTTGTGTTATTTTTCTGAATTGCTAAAATAAATTTAGCCTAAGTTACTCCTTATTATATCGGCTACCTGCTAATAAAATTCCCGTCAAAATCGGTCCAGCCGTATCAGAGATTAAACGGAACAAACATACAGACAGACATAAAATTAAAAAAAAATATGTTATTTTGGTATATGTGCCATATATATTTATATACATGTAGTAAAAACGTTTATTACAAACAGACACTCCAATTTTATTGATATGTATAGATGAACATCATACATATGCCATATTATAACACTTTTATTAAAAGGGAACGCACGTGTGGGAATTACAAGCGATTTGCTCTCCCCTCTCCTATTCATACGTACATATTGGTTTGAACGAATAAATTTCACGTACACTTTATTGACATAAATGAACAATCTGAATGGTTAATACACGTGAGCTTGCATAAACAACTTCTTTTCCACAAACAAATGCACAAAAAACGAAGTGATAGGTTTCTCTGTTTAATCCAATTGAAGGAGATAGGTTTCTGAGATAAAAATCTCTGATTAAAACCTACTTTTATCATTGTTTGTCTCTCTGTCTGTATGTTTGCTAAGCCATGTTTGTTTCGGTAAATCTTAGGATCGGCTGGACTAATTTTAATAGGACTTTGGTGGGAAAGTACCTAATGGAAATGTCATAGGTTATTTTTTTTAATTCCGCGCAGATGAAGTTGCAGGCGACAGGCAGTCAAAAATATAAAAGGTAATCTAAATCCATTTTATCGTTGAGTTACCCAACGTTTAATATCTCGATTTGAATAAAGCAAAGTTAACAAGTGACAACGCTGAAAGTGAAGTTACGCAATGTACTACGTAACCACGTTTTAATATAGTATACTAACTGCCAAAATAAGTGGAACCGTACATTATTATATTTTGCATCTTATTTTGAAATCATACTACATTTTTAGATTTAAAAAAAATATTCATTTTTCATTTTTAAAATAAATGTAGTAGAGTTAGTAAATATAGAATTTTACTAACCGTGGATTTCTGAGACCAAAACTTGTATATAAAATATCGCCATCCCTGTCATTATCTTTGAACAAACAGAGATAACAATATTTTATACGAGGATTTGGTTTCAAAAACTCACTATAAGTGAGTTATTACACATTAATCAATTAAAATAAAAAATGCCAGTTAGGCATATTAATAGACATAATAATTATAACAGTAAATTTAGTGCAATACTATGTTTAGGCATTACATAAAGTATCAGCACAGAGAACGTAAAATATATATTTTCCAAGCCCTGTAGCAACAAGATCTAGTTTTTCGAAGGTCTGTCTGGCTGTGACCAATTTCACAATTAACCGGTCGATCTAGTTCTGAGGTCTTTGACACTCAATACCTTATAAAGTTAATTGGGTCACCTTAGTAATATAAAAAACAAAATCACGGCTACATGAACAAGTCGTAACTGATAAAAGTTTTTATAAATCTATCATTAACCGTTTCTGAGAACAGTTTAACACATATTGCTATCTCTGTTTTGTCAAAGATAATGACAAGGATGACGATATGTTTTAAACAGAGATTTTGGTAGCAGAAACTCACCGTTAATTATTTAATTGTAGTTAATTATTTAGTTGTAGTTAGTTATTTAGTTGTAGTTAGTTATTTAGTTGTAGTTAGTTATTTAGTTGTAGTTAGTTATTTAGTTGTAGTTAGTTATTTTGTTGTATTTAATTATTTTGCTGTAGTTAATTATTTTGTTGTAGTTAATTATTTTGTAGTAGTTAAATATTTAGTTGTAGTTAGTTATTTAGTTGTAGTTAGTTATTTAGTTGTAGTTAGTTATTTAGTTGTAGGTTTTGGATGATATTCCACAAGATGGAACTATCTAGTTATGGTAGTGAAAGATACATTAGATTAGAGAAACATTGGAAGACGGGAATTTTAAATAAATCTTTTTAGTGTTTCATAACAACATACCTCATTGTAGTCTGTTGATTATTGGAATTAAGTATATATTTATTACTAACTGTCGCCCGCGACTCCGTTCACGCGGATTTAAATAAAAACCTAATTAGTTGCCTATATGTTCTTCCAGACTATGTTCTACATCTATGCCAAAGTTCAACCAGATCCGATAAGAAGCTGTGGAGATACCTTCTAATAAACATCCATCCATACATCTAAATCTTCGAATTCATAATATTAGTAAGATAGTAATATTATAGAGCGAACTAAATCGTTTAATAGTACGTGCAAATTGATTAACGCCCGTATTATTCTTAACAGAGTAAAAACTAAAAGATTTGTCATAAATTTCAAAGATATAAAACAGGGCAGACAGTAATTTAAAACACCAGTAAACTTATACCTAGTTACAATTTGCACTGCATCTAACTTTGTGAAATCCACGCCGGATGGCTCATACAAATGTCCGAGGATATGCAGCCGGGCCACAACCGGTAGCTAACAAACCGTGAAAACAGAAAGCGTTGCGTTATTAACTAACACCAACGCGTCCATGTAATAAGTGGCGTAATAACGTATTACGGTTATTATAGTTTTTTCTACGTTCTTATACTTCATTGCTTATTTAACGTATTTTATTATCGGCTTGTACGATAAAATAGATAATGAAACTATGTAATGGCGACGTATGTAGAGAGAAGTTGAAGTTTTTAAAATATATAAATAGGTTTTCGCAGTTAATACTACGGAAGTTGATTTAAAAAAAAAACAACGAATGTAGATTACAAGAAGAGATGATACATCTCAATAAAAAAGTCAATACTCTAGTTTTTTGTTCCAAGATCCTTAAGTCGAATGCCATCACGTATTAAACAAGATTTCTAATACAAGACTACACGAATGTTTTCTTAGTTCATTGACTTTGATGAATAAATATTTATACCAACTGGATTTTGATTTAACAGGAAACTTTTGCCTATCACTTTGTCGTCACGGAATGAAGAACAAATTAATTAGTAGCCTAAGTGTTTTTCTACACTATTTTCTACATCTATGGTAAATTTCACCGAGATCCGTAGAGCAGTCCTGAAAATATATTAGTAAGCTAGTAAGATTAGTAAGAAATATTTTTAGAAGCTACTAGAAAAAAGGCAATAGTCGACAATCAACGTAAACTCGCAATGTGTCATTCACTCACCAATAACACGATAATAAAATTACCCTAATAGTGACCACTTTACCTTTCCCTACCACCTAAAGTTAAATCCATATTAGTGGGGAGTCATTTATGGTAGTCGTGTACAGTATCATTTGACCACTGGCGCTGTGTAGTGTTACATTTGAACAGTGAATACAGACTAATATCAACATGTGCGGGGATATGGGCAAGGCGGTGCTGCGCGCTCTGACGGGTGCATTACTCTGTGGTTTGGTTTCCGATGCCGCGTATTTACAAGTAAGCTTTTGCTTTCTCAACATATTTACTTACATATTTTTTATTATTTGAATATTTAACTATGTCTTAAGTTGCCCGCAAATTCGTCAGCGTGAAATTAAAAACAAAATCTATTAAAACTTATCGCGTATGTCACCGAGAGATAGTGTAATTCGCCAACAGTTCTTTTTTTTAAATCGTTCGTGGTTAGGTATATCAAACTAGCAAAAAGCAATTCTTGTTTAACGTTCGCAATTTTTTTCATTCCGATAACGCAATGACCCTTTTTTATCTTCTTACGCTTACGCTGGGGAATGTATCGAGGGGAAAAGTGCAATTCCAGATATTTTATTTCTTTCCTTTCATAAGAGGTTCCTTGGAACCAATGTGGAGGGAATTTTTACAGATAAATTTAACAATGTCTCTTTAAAAAAATAGAAATTATCAGCGTACTCTTTCTTCGCTTAATAAGTTATTAACATAATCTTGGATAGAAACCAAAAAAGGCATTTTTTTGCTGACTGTACAAAAATATATGAAGGTATACAGAATAAGAACTTTACTTAACAGATGAAACGACACACTTTATAAAGACGAGAAAAAAAGGTGGAAAAAGAAGCATCCCGTCCAAGGTGCGAATTTGCGAGATTACAACTGAATACCAATTTGGCGGCGCCGTGGAGTTTTCAAACAATTTCCACTTTAAGGAGCGTTGATCAAAGAAATAAAACTAAAAAGCAGAACTCCACCAGCCGACGAGAATGAAAGTAAATTTAACCAACAGTAATTCGCCTTTGAGGGGCTCAAGGGAAACTCGAAGGAAGGAAAATTGCGAAAGTTAGTGTTCCCTTATGAGGCGGCGAGTTATTGCTACTAGATATTTTAAGGTCGCAAACGACTCTCACTTTTAATGCAATAACTTTCGCCTAAACGTCCAATTATGTCAAAACTTCAGAAAACCCGGTTCATAATTTTCAGATCACGAGTCATTTGTGTGCGAATCTCTTCCGGTCATTGCTAATATTAAACCAAAAAGTTTTATAATACTTTGTTTTATTCAAAAAACAAATTTAAAAAAATAAAAACCCTCGTCCAATAATAAACTGACAATAAGTCAAAATTGTACACATCGTTACAAAATGGTCAGTGTTGCAAAATTATTTATACGACCTGTTTCATAATACCAAACTTCTAAAGCGATAAAATTTGATTGTAAACGTTGCGTCACGCTAGGATACTGGTTCAGAAACATTCTGCCATCTGATCCGTCGATTAAGAAACCCCAAGCTCATTACTTGGTGCGGAACTTTCGAGACTGCGCAAACGCCGGGCGGCCATGACAAGGCGGTTGCCCCCTCTCACTCGGTCACTCAAAAGTACTAAGCCTTTGGGTATCTAGCTCGTAAATCTAGGGTACGGTTAACACATTTAATCGAAATTACCTTTTATCGTTCACGTAGTAACATTTGTATGCCTTTCACATTTTACTGAAATCGAAATTCAATCTATAAAAAGGCCAACTAACCTTTAAAACAAAAGTGAACAAAATATTTTAACAATAAAATCGACTCTAAATTAAATGAATTATTAGCAAATTGCTATGCATAAATTAAAACAATTTTCTTCGCAACTGTACTTCCGTAACGAAAACATCGTATGTACAATCGCGGAGAAAGTGGAACTGAGTCAAGGTCGACCACATTCTACTTTCGCTCTCCGTATCTTTTTTCCATAATCTGCTTGACATACATACGGCAAATACTGCACGATAATTACATATAGAACCGATATACACATTTAATAATAACATTTTTTTCTTATTATTGAACCTCATTATTTAACACGTTAAACGCCACAGTAGAAATAGAAAAAATCACTAAAAACTTTTTGCTGCAAATAGATTCGTAATGTCGAATCATCAAAATAAATCTAGTTTAGGGTTGGATCAGAAGCTGGGTTCCGCAGATATTATACAAAAACTTCATGAGGTCACACGTGCCGTACGCGGCGCTTAATGCAGGCAGGGATCGGGTCACCGGTAACCGGAGCGGCGTTTAACGTGTTAAACACGAATAAAAACATTCGACATCTATGTGATCACGTAAATTTTTTTTTCTTACTCTTTTACCTTAAGAATCTAACAGTTCATTATGGAATTTAGTACACGAAGTATTGAAATTATTTTTTAAATTCTCAGAAAAAAATTAAAGTTAACTAATTATATCCACATAGCAACCCCATCTAGCGTTAGCAAAAATAGCATAAATATAAATTAATTTCTACATGCGCGTTATCACATCACGCAACAATAATAAAGCGAACGAAGTTTACCGTCAAATCTATATTTGCAGAACTACGACACATATCCAGTTAAGTACGAGCAGGCGGTGTACCGCAAACCGCTGCGGGAACACGAAAAGCCTCAGGATTTACGCAACGTGCCCGGCGTGCCTGGCGTCGACTATCCTATCTACCACCAAGTACCAGACACCAGGTTCTCATGTGCCCACGTGCCTGTACACCCGGGCATGTACGCTAATGTCGAAACTGGATGCCAGGTAAAGAGGAACAAACAAAATTTATCTATGTGTTCTACCAGACTATGTTTTCTTTGACAAATTTCAACGAGCTCCATGCAGCTGCACTGGAGATATCGTACAAACATCCATCCATACAAATGTTGGTATTTATAACATTAGTAAGTTAAGTAGCCAACTCACACTTCCGTAAACACCAAAATCATATTTACGTTTAATTTGAAGTTTTAACCCAATTTCCTAAATAATACTCTGTAAAATAAACGAATAACTACGCTTATTTGTTTAGAAATAAATATATTAATGTAAAATACTCGAGTTCCCTTAATTTCAACGGGCCGTGAGTAATTTTAAATTGAATAAGTTAAAGTAATTTCACTTGAGGCGTGACTTACCTACAGTTTATTACAGCTTGATAATCTTAAATTACAACTTGGAGGGCTTTATTTAAATACAATTTGTTAATTTTCAAACCAAACGTTTCTCGCAATGGATTCTCTTTAAGGTCCCCACTTACACATAAATTTAATCAAATTAGAAATTATTTAATTTCAATGCTTTATTTAAAACGATTTAAAGTGTTTTAAAGTGTAAACAAAACGTGAATTTTGATTTAGTTGAATTTTTATCCATCTCATTTATCGAACAGGCAGGGGAGAGAAATTATAGAAAGGGGAAATATCCTCATATCACCTCCCTTCTGCTTATATACAACGAAGGTAACTCGGAGAAGTCTGTGAGCCGCGGTCACGTCGCTATTCTAGCGAAACTATCCGCTTACATGTGTACTCCCTACTATAAATAAACTGTTTTCATTCTAGGCGTACCACGTATGCCATGACGGTCGTGAGGGACACCAAGGTGCTGCTTTCCTCTGCACAAACGGAACTCTCTTCGACCAGACTAAGTTTGCTTGTGACTGGTGGTACAATGTTGACTGTTCACAGGCTATTGAACACTATAAGTAAGTTACCTCGAAACAACTTAAGCAGAAGCTTGAAGGGAGACTGTGGACTGATTACGTCAGTGAATAAAACACTCAAAATTAAAATAAAAATTTTGAAATGTTTCAGATTAAACGCAGATCCATTGAAGAACCCTTACGTACCAAAACCAAAACCAGAGGAGGTGGCGGAACACGGAGTTTATTACAAACATGACTAAACAAACATCAAATTGTCTCATCCGGTGAACAGAATCACATCTCTTTCCTTGATAGATGTAACTCTTTTCATTGCATGGGTCGTTATTGCAAAAGTTAAAAAGAGACCACCTATTGAATAATTACTCATGAATTTTAATCGTAACGTTAATAAGAGCACAGATTTCAATATTAACAATAAATTATTAAAAACTAAAAATTTGTATAGTAATCAATTTATAAAATGATATTGTTTATTCCTTATCCAAGTAGCTGCTATTATTAATCGACTTCTAAAAGAAGGAGGTACTCATCATCATCATCATCGTCAACTCACTATACGTCCCCACTGAGGGCCTCGGAGCCTACCCTAAGTTAAGGGTGATTAGGACATAGTCAACCACGCTGGCCAAGTGCGGGTTGACTTCACACATATCTTTGAATTTCTTCTCAAATATGTGCAGGTTGCATCACGATGTTTTCCTTCACCGTAAGAACGTCGGATAAATGTACATATGTAAATCGGAAATCGAAAAACATATTGGTACATGGCGGGATACGAACCCAGGACCTGCAGATTGCAAGTCAAGTGCTTGACCCTGAACCTCCGACGCTCTTAGGAGGTTTTCAAGTCGTCTCAATTCTTGATATAAAAAAGAAAAATTTCAGTAGTATGTAACTGGCCTTCAGTTACATACTATTGCAAGCCATTCAGAAATTAAAAAGAAAAAAATATTAGTACCTATAAAATCAGTGGAACAATAGTCATTGATCCATTTCATAAAAGATCTTATTGTAAATTATGTGCTCTTATTATTGTTTCATTATTTCATTATTTAAATTCATCTTTATTCACTACTCATTTTATTATTAAGCTACTTTTTACATTTAATCACGATAAATATATTTCCATTACCGTTACTGTAAATATTTGAAATTATTCCGTTGCAAGATTCATTCAACATCAATGTATGTATGGCCGTCGTAAATTTGGATGGCAAATAATTTAGTTAAAAATAAGAAAATGTTTTTTATATAGACAGACAATAAACAATCGTACAAAATACAAAACATTTTTTTATATGAGAGAAATTATTATTATGTTTTTATTAAACAAAATAATTTCGTAAAATTTATTTTACAAAAAAATTAAATTTAATTTAATTTTGTTGTCGCTTTCATTTTATTAATTTTAACGTATGTTTTTATATTAAAATAATTATTTATAAACTGAATAAAATAATGCATATATATTATTGTAAAACATATTTTTTAAAGTAATAAATGTCACCATAAAATTAAATGCGAAATAGAAATTAAATAGTCTCCATTCAGAAATAAAAATAAAATAAATATTTTTATTTAATAAAAAATCAAAACTATAATTAATGATATTTTATTTCTAAAAGTCAGTTCTGCAGCAATTATTATAATTATTAAAATATCATATATAAAAAACTAGGTGTTGCTTGCGACTCGGCGCGCGAAATTAAAAAAAAACTTAATTTGAAGCCTATTTGTTCTTCCAGACTATGTTTTACTTTTGTACCGAATTTCGGCTGTTCTAGAGATATGTACCTTGTAATTCATCCATCCGTTCATCAATCCAAACATTCGCATTTATAATATTAGTAAGATTAACTTTTATAAAATAATATGAGAATGAAGTTTAAATTATTACGTGGAAACTTCCTCAAAGTTTGAATTACTGCATCTCAAGATTTACTCAAATAGAATAAGTTTTAAGAGACTGTTACTTCGTATACTTAAGTTGAGACACTTTATTTGACGAGTTTTAGATACTAGCTGTCGCCCGCGACTCCATCCGCGTTTAATTAAAAAATATAATTAGTAGCCTTTGTGTTCTTGCAAACTATGTTCTATATGTGCTCGAGGTCCGTTCAGGAGTTCTGGAGATATCTTCAAACAAACAACCATCTAAACATTCGCATTTATAATATTAGTAAGATTGTTCTAGCGTGTCTTCTCACTGTTTCTACTCAAAAACATAGAAGTTAAACAAAATTTAAAAATGCAACAGTAGCTTTAATCAAACTTTGAATATTATTTAGAGAAAAAAAATCATAAATAACTTCGTGGATACTCTGTAACTTTAAAAAAACACTGCACCAAAACAGCTAAAAGTCTACAAAACCCGTTCCGAAATAGCTTTTGACTTTCCAGTACAAAATTGAATAACAAAGTTGATATTCGGTTTATTCTTTTCTTTTCCGAATGTAATTCAACTTGTATTTTAATAACTAGCTATCGCACGCGACTCCGTCGAAAATGTCGGATAATATTGACACTAAATTATTTATACAAGATAAAAATTATACTTAATTGGTTAACAGTCCGAAACGTGGACTATGAAAGTTCTTAACGTAAATCAGTGATTGGTATCATATCTTATGACGCTGACAATGGGAGAGCACGCTATAACATCGTGAACGAATTGACCGACTTGACCAATGACAGACCACAACCACACAGAAGACAGTTAAGAAGTGAAATTCCATCAGTCTTTTCGATAAAAGTACTAGTAACAAAAAATTTAATTTGACTAAGTAGCATGAATATATTCTATGCATTGCAAGAGTTTCTTTTAAAATTGTCATCTTAATAACTCCACAGTCTTTAGTGGCCATTTTGATATTGTTGAACTTAACTAAACTGAAATATTAAGTAGATTAATGAATATAAGAGCGTCGGAGGCTCAGGGGTCAAGCACTTGACTTACAATCTACAGGTCCTGGGTTCGATTCCCGCCATGTACCAATGTGTTTTTCGATTTACGATTTACATGTGTACATTTATCCGACGTTCTTACGGTGAAGGAAAACATCGTGTATGCACATATCTGACAAGAAATTCAAAGATATGTGTGAAGTCAACCAACGCGCACTTGGCCAGCGTGATTGACTATGGCCTAATCACCCTTAACATAGGGTAGGCTCCGAGCCCCTCAGTGGGGACGTATAGTGAGCTGATGATGATGATGAATAAATATTTTAACTGTCTCGTATATTTAATGTTTTATTACTGTTGTTTCTGAATTTCAATGAGGCAATTTTTAAAAATGCTTAAAGGAAACATTTGTGAGTGTGGGATCTTATTTCAAATTTTATGCGCCCCTCGTGTACGGTTGTTCTGCGTACATTGTACTAAATTTTATATCTTATATGTTTTTGCTAAGACAATTCCTTCAAGAAATTTCATACGTCTGAAATATTAATAACAAAATTATAACAATATTGGCTCGTATCAAATATCACGTAAACTCTACATTGAAATGCATATCTATTACCTTACTAATATTATAAATGTGAATGTTTAGATGTATGTTTGTTTGAAGGTATCGCCGGATCGGCTGAATGGATTTCGATGAAATTTGGCATACATATAGAACATAGTCGGGAAGAACACATAGGCCACTAAATATGTTTTTTTTAATACCGCGCGGACAGAGTCGCGTGCGACAGCTTCTTCTAGTTTCTCACACTTTTGCTTCATATCAAAATTAACCAGATTCTGTTCATATAAAAGATTATTTTACTAAAATTAAATTTGTTGTATTATCAGGATCAATTGTTTTATAATTTTCTTTTTTTTTATTTGGAACGTGAATGATCGTCAACTCTTATCGTTGAATTTCTGGAGTAGGCATAAAACGTTCGTAGCTCCGACACGTCCGCCCTTTTTTAATAAAACACGTCCCACTACGAGTCATATGTCTGAGCCTCAATATTGTGGCGGTGAATTTACAACGCGAATTGCGTGATACGAATATTATGCATTCATTTGTACAACTCGCTTGTTGTCTTTGAATATTGTTATACAACTCGATATAATTGTACTAGACTAATTATATTGTTGTTATGATAAACTAGCTGTCGCCTGCGACTCCGTCCGCGCGCAATTAAAATAAATTTAAAAAAAATTATGACAATCCATTGCGCCGTTCCGGAGATATTTTCAAACAAATATCCATTCATCTAAACTTTTACAAAGTTACTGCTGTATTGAAGTAAGTTCTTCATATCTAAAGAGAAAGCATTTTTTTATTTCATAAGGTGGCAAACGAGCGAGCGGCCACCTGAAATCGCTGAAATAACGAAATGACCGTTGCCCATAGACATACGCAATTGCATATGCGTTGCTTACCTTTAATCGACAGAAGAGAGAATGCACAGAAAAAAATATTTTCCCTTTCCGTGCATCCTCTCATCCGGAAACTTCCACTTCCCATCCTTTTCTTATAAGAAAAAGGGTGGGAAGGAAAAGAGGACTAAATTAGGCCTCCGGGACGCACCCTCATCAGACTGCACGCGGAATTGCTTCCACTTGACGCCTGTCTTCTATGTTGTCGTGGTATTTCACCGGGCGAGCCGGGCCGATTCGTGCGAAGATGTTAAAGCGAGCTCTACCACTGTTAAAACAATTGTTAAATTATTATTAATTTTATACGTTTTATACGACAAGATCATCAAAGTTTGTTGAAATCAGAACACACCGTATAATTCTAAATCAAAAAATGTTTTTTTTAAATAATTTGCCTAAACTATTGACAACTTATTATAAAATGTTTTATTGTGATTATCAACAATTAAAATTACATTTTGATTGAATATTGTACAACTAAAAGGCAATTTAATATAAATAACACAATTTTAAACATCAAACAACTCATATTAATTTTAATATTCCAATTAATAATGAACTAAGCGTTCGTTTAAATATAACGCGAAACACATTATAGGAAATTGAAATTATATTAATGATCGATTAATTTTTGAATAATGGACATTTAATGTGACGTTATATAGATTATTTTGTATGTGAAAATAAATTGGAAATTAATTTACCTAAATAATTGTTACTTATTCAACCTCATTTTTACTTTTACCGGTAAAAAAAACGGTAGCCTATCTTATTAATATTATAAATACGAAAGTTTAGATTAATGGATAAACAACGTGTCTTCGCAGTGACTCAACGGATTTTTATGAATTATTCAAACTTTCGTAAGACATCATACTAAACTGATATAAAAACGGCTAAACACTCACGAATATGCGTCCGGTGGCGGCACCGACGACGACGAATATAAGTGAGTGTTTAGCCGTTTTTATATCAGTTTAGGATCTTGATGAAATTTGGCATAGATGTAGAACAAAGTCTGTAAGAACACTAAGGCTACTTATTAAGTTTTTTTATTGCAAGCAGATGGAGTCAGCCGTCAGCCAGTATGTAATATTCTGGCGCAAGTCAGCTAAGTTCTCATCAAAGTTCAGTTAATATTGTCCCAACCGTTTGGAAGATTATAAGGAACAAACGCGGTCTTGTAGACTATTAGACAATACAGACAAAAATGTTTAAATTTCGTATTTCCTTATCATTTATACAAAGTATGATATTTTTTTATTTCACATACAGACTTTATTATATGTAAAGATTATAAATGTCGTAATCATAGCACTAAAAGGAAACTTAAAACAAATTCATTGCAAATGTTTAAATTTAATCTCGTAGATTTAATTTGGCTCAAGCTTTCCACCCACGTCAAGGTTCAGGCTTGACAGTTTAATTTTAAGTTGCAAGCAACAAAATAACTACGAGTGAGTCTCGAACAATGGATAAAACTGCTCTAAATATTAATATTCATCATTATTCATTGTCTAATGAGTTAATTTTACGTTGTTATACATAAAAATTGTCATAAACAAATATATTGAAAACTAGCTATCGACCGCGACTCTGTCCGCGCGGAATTAATAAAAAACATACTTAAGTTCCACCAGACTATGTTCTACGTCTTTGTCAAATTTCAGCGATATCCATGTAGACGTTCTGGAGATACCTTGTAACAACCATCCATCTAAACATTCGCATGTATATGAAGATGTTATAGCGGGTTCCACCACTCTTAAACCTGTATAAAAGTCCCTTATGAAAATACTATAAAATAAAAAATAAATAAAATACGTAGTAATAAATCCCACAAACGCTTCGCAGTATTGTAATAATAAATCGGTAATGGGTTAATACTGCATACGCTGCAATCAACTGTTTAAATTCACGGACCATTTATTCCTTTCATTCCATTTATGTTTGTTACACGCCGCACTGAGGCAAACGTCCTTACGTGTATAACTGGGTATATCATTGGATCGTTGGGTACTTTTAAGAATGGATATGGATATCTATATCCATATTTATAATAATTAAAATATTATCGCACACTAATCACCTTTTCATGCTGAAAATTAATAAATTTGTAATCAAGAAATTCCAGTGAATGTTGTATTTTGTATAAAATTGAAAATATTTTATTTTCAATTGCC